TTTATTTTTTTTTCAACGTTTATTTATTTTTGGGACAGAGAGAGACATAGCATGAACGAGGGAGGGGCAGAGAGAGAGGGAGACACAGAATCGGAAACAGGCTCCAGGCTCTGAGCCATCAGCCCAGAGCCTGACGCGGGGCTCGAACTCATGGACCGCGAGATCGTGACCCGGCTGAAGTCGGACGCTTAACCGACTGCGCCACCCAGGCGCCCCTGTTTTTTCTAATTCCATGGTCTTTTGATACAAATTCCTACCAACCCTCTCTCCCGGAACTGGATTTGTGCTGGATCTATACAGCTCACTGACATTTTAATATCCATTCTATAAACACACTCTATCTCTCCATTTAAGTCTTCTCCAATTTCTTTCATTAGTGCCCCAAATACCTATCCTTAAAGGAACAGACAGAATATTTTCTCCTTTAAAATCTTTTCTTGGAGCACCTGGCTGCCTCAGGCAGAAAAACATAGAACTCTTGATCTCAGAGTCATGAGTTCAAGTGCCACGTTGGGTGTAGAGCTTACTTTAAATGAGTAATTTTCCTACAGTTATGTATTATTAGTTGCAAAGGAGTTTTGACTTCCTAACTTAATTGTATGTTCTCTATAAGTAAAGATCTGTATCTTTTACTTTATTGATAGAATCAAAGATCATTCAAGGGCTATTATTCATAGTATCTAACACGGAAGGTATCTGTCTTTGTTTAAGAGCAAGATTTAGATACGAACCTATAGATCTAAAGACTTTATTAAAGGATCCTATTTCTTTGTGGGTATGTCTATGGCCTTTAGCTTTGGTAACAGACATCACTTCTTGCCTGTACTTGCAGTGGTTAAGTGGTCTTCCTGCCTTTGGCTATTCTTTTCTCTCATTCATGTTCCCCACAGCTGCCTGTTGTGGGTTGAACTGTGTCCTCCCAAAAGACATGCTGAGGTCCTAACCTCTGATACCTGCGAATGTGACCTTATTTGGAAATAGGGTCTTTGCAGATGTAATTAAGTTAAGATAAGGTTATACTGGAGTAGAGTAAGCCCTTAATACAACATGACTGGTGTTCTTTTAGGAAAGTAAGAGACACAGAGACTGAGATATACAAAGAGAGAGCCATGTGAAGACACAGACAAAGAAGAGAGCTGTGAGGCCACAGACGCAGAGGTAAGGAGTTATGCAGCCACAAGCCAAGGAATGCCTGTAACAACCAGAAAGTCGGTGAACGTGGCTCTGCCAACATCCTTTTTTTTTTTAAGTTTTTTTTTCTTCTGTTTATTTTATTTTTGAGAGAGAGGGCACAAGTTGGGAAGGGACAGAGAGGAGAGGGGACAGAGGATCCGAAGCAGGCTCTGCTCTGACAGCAAAGAGCGCAATGTGGGGCTTGAACCCATGAACCACGAAATCATGACCTGAGCCAAAGTCAGACGTTTAACCAACTTAGCGCCCCCAGGCGCCCCTGCCAACATCTTGACTTTGGACTTTTAGCCTCCATAACTATGAAAGAATAAATTTCTGCTGTGCTAAGCCACCCAGCTTGTGCTACTTTGTTATAATATGTTACCCTATAAAATTAACACCTTTCTAGAAAGACTTTTAATAAATATGTAATATAACTCATCACTTTAAAATCTTTTGAAAGGGAACCCACCTCTTCAGCATGATATGCAATGGCCTTTATGGTATGTAAACCTGCTTACCTTTATCTATTATAAGCTCACCTTCACATACCTATTCCAAATGTGGCTTTCTTTAAAAAAAAAAAAAATTTTTTTTTTTTAATGTTTATTTTATTTATTTTTGAGAGACAGAGAGAGACCGCACAAATGGGACAGGGCAGAGAGAGAGAGAGAGAGAGAGGGAGACCCAGAATATGAAGCAGGCTCCAGGCTCTGAGCTGTCAGCACAGAGCCCGACGCGGGGCTCGAACTCACGAGCCGTGATATTATGACCTGAGCCAAAGTCGGACGCTCAACCAACTGAGCCACCCAGGCACCCCCAAATGTGGCTTTCTTTAAGCTCCACTCTATTACAGAGCTCTTTATTCTAGTTCAGTGGTTTTCAACTAGGCCAATTTTGCTCCCCTCTCCCAGGGACACTTGGCAATCTCTGAAAACATTTCTGGTTGTTAAAACTGAAGGGAAGGGA